CCGTTGCCTCTGGCGCCAGCTCGCGGCCCCAAGCGGCGGGCCTCACCATGGCAACCGCAGACGTCACGGCTGTGGGACTGTAGGTCGCGCGAGGGCCGCCGCGCCCAGCGATTGGCTCCACCGCCGCAGCTGCGCAGGAACCCACCCTCGCCCGCGCCCCGACCCCCCTCGCACCCTCATCTTAACTCACAGCAGGGCGGGGGGTTTCCCCTTCAGTTCTCCCCTTGGGTCTCGGGGTCTCCTAGAAACACGTGTCACTCCTCACATACTAGCCCACCCGAAGGGAGCATCCGTCTGTCCCATTATCTACTTTCTAAAGGAAACACCTTCAGTTCCTTCCATTATTTCCCGCGACATCTATCATGATGCAACTGCTATCGGCCTCCAGGTCTCATCTTGGAAAGCCTCCCGGGCTTGGAAAGGTGAGTACCAGAATGCCAGGCCACCGAGCGATCGGATCCGTGCTGGAATGCTAACAGTAATTCTAAGAATAATAGTATTTGGCCCTAACCGGTTTGGCTCAATGGATAGAGCATCGGCCTGCGGACTGAAAGGTCCCAGGTTCGATTCCGGTCAAGGGCATGTACCTTGGTTGCGGGCACATCCCCAGTAGGAGGTGTGCAGGAGGCAGCTGATCGATGTTTCTAACTCTCTATCCCTCTCTCTCCCTCTCTGTAAAAAATCAATGAAATATATATTTAAAAGATAATAATAGTATTTGGTGAGTATCATGAATTAGGCACTTTACTAAGTGCTTTATATGCATTTCTATCAATATATGAGGGAGGTATTGCTATCATTCTCATTTTCCAGGTGAGAGCACTGTGGCTCAGGGACGCCAAGGAACATTCCTGAAGGTCCACAGTAAGGGACGAAGCCCAGTTCACACCCGAGCCGATCTGACTCATCACCTGTGCTTTATATTCACAAGGCCACCCAGGCTTGCTTAGCTGTTAGTTACCTTGCTAGCATCACCCAGGCCTCTAGCTGCCACAGGCCAGTTTACAGAGCTGGGCTGTCACTCAAGGTGTAGGCGCAGGAGTGAAGGCCGCCAAGTCAGCATTCCCGTGATTGGAGTAAGACAAGCAGGTGGCCAGAGTCTGATTATCATTCAAGAAGCAGAGCAGGGTTTCCCAGGTTGAGG